CCTACTTGGAAGCCTGTGCACTTGGATACATATATAGATAGATATTTTACATACAAATACATAACCTGTATATACAGACATTCTCTCTTCCCATTAGGTTTGTTTTCTGCTCATCTCCACTCTCTCCCCTCCGTGTGCCGCTGTACGAGGTTGCCGTGGGGCCTGCATCAGTTGGGGTTTCTTTGCCCTCTGGCTTCCAGTTGGGTTTGGCCAATGGGAGACATAAGTAGGAGACCGATGGGACATGGGAGTAGAAGGAGGTCCAAGTATTTAATCCACCCACCCTCAGTCTCTCCATACCCGGCCGTGGGTTGGCAGGGCTGTGTTCCCTTACCGAAGGCCACAACTCCCTCTAGAAGACTCTCTCCTAGAACAACAGCTCTGCTCCCTCCCCTTGCCCCTTGAGGCCTGGATGTGGTGATGGCTCTCCACTGGCGATGGCCCCAGGGCTTCATAATACCTTGTGGATTTCTCTCAACCCCTGCCCATAACTGTGCAAATAGTTCCCTTACTGACCTATCTTCAGTCACCTCTCTGAGCGCCATCTGTTTCCTGCTGACACCCTGATAGTATAGTTTGTATGTGTTTTTATAATTTAGGAACTTCTGCTGTTCTTGGTAAGAACACCTACCTTCCCTACTCCGGGGACACAAGCTTTGGAAGGCGTTGACCTTATTTAGGGGTAGGTAAGTGACTCAGCCCTGGCCAATCCGAGCACTGTATCCCCTGTTTTCAGTGACTGGTTCTGAGCTCAGCATGGGTCCCAAACCGGGCCAGTGAGAACGAGCCCAGGATACTGGCTGCCTGCACTGGGGAAGAGAAGCTCTCTTCTTTTCTCTGGCACTCCAGCCTGAGAGTGTGTGGGCCTAGAGATGCTGGCCGATACTTTGCCTTTATGAGGATCTCAGGATGAAGTCAACACAGAAGAGCAAAGCCAAGCCCTGGAAAGAGGTCCGATATTAATCACACTGTTTAAGCCCCTGAATCAAGCCATCCCCAAAGTCCAATCTACTCCTGGGTTTTCTCTTCCTGCATTCTCTTTTTGCTTAACCCGTTGTGGGCTGAATTCTCTGTCACATGCAACCAAGAGTCATAACTGATAGAGAAATATGCCAAACTCATATGTTTTCTGTAAGCAAGCAGAAAACACCTCTAGATAACTTAAGTTTAAAAAGAAAGAAAGGAAGGAAGGAAGGGAGGAAAGAAGAAAGAAAGAACGAAAAGAAAAGAAATTTTGGGGAGTGGTATAGAGCGGCTCACAGAACCAAAGGAAAAGCAGAAAAATTAGGTCTTGGAAAGGATGTGTACCAGAGTCCCCTCTGGGGATTCAGATAGGAGGAATGAGTGGACAGTCACCAGAGCACCGCCTTGGAATAAACCAGTGGCAACCATCTAGAATGCTTGGGTCACTTTACTCCAGATTCAGATGAGCTTGGGCAGGGGGTAGGGTGTCCATTTAGCCCTACTTGAGACTCATGCCCAATCCTTGTCCAAAGGAAGGCAGGACCCCTGGACTGATAATTCCACCACGACTGTATACAGTTGGGGCTGTGTAATGCCCCAAAGCATAATCTAAGCACTTGTTCTAAGCACTTGGTGCATACTAACTCATTTTAATCCTGAGTAGCCCTTTGAGGTAGGTACTCTTATTATAATCCTTATTTTACAGATGAGAAATTGACACACAGAGAGGTTAACTAACTTGCCCGTGGTCACACAGTTGGTAAGTGATAGAGTGGGGATGAAAACCCGGGTGGCCTGGTTCCAGAGTCTGTACGTGTAACCCACTACACTATAGGGCTTCTCCAGAAGAAAGTGAATGAAGGGCAGACAAAAACACAAGGTCCCCTGCAGGTAATGCTCAAGGGAGGAATTACCGGGGAACTTCCACTCTCTCAGTATCATTTTTTTTTAGCCACCATATATTAACAGGAAGAGAAAAAAGATAACAGATTTCTATTTTGGAAAACAAACAAACAAACAAACAAACAAAAACCACCTCCTGCTTAGCCAATAAGGGAGAGGGAAGGAATCCAAAGCTGGTGATCTCACTCTCTCCCAACCACAAAGACTGTGAAATATCTAGGACCCAGGGGAATTCTAGCTGTCACCAGGCTGCACTAGCCAAGACTGAGGAAACCCAGGGAGTTAGGGAGGTGTTATCCATCATAAAGGCCTTGTCCCTACCCAACAGTGAATGCTAGCACTTTGGTGAAGCAAATTGAAGCGGCCATTGCCAGCAGACCTCTGCCCTCATCAAAATCCTAGTGGGGTTTCCCTCTGTGCCCCCTCTTGGGTCCTCCCACACAGGCACACTGTTCCAGGCAGCCTGCTCTGCCCTCCTCACTCCGCAAGGGCAGGGCCCACTCCTTCAACAACATGGGACAGGTGTTGTCAAGGCTCCAAGCCTGAGAATAGAATAGCAAAACCACAGCAAAAGTTCCAGAATTTAAATCTCATTCTTCTGGATCAGCCTTTAGCTGCAGAAAGCGAAAACCCCAACTACCTCTTCCTAGGAACACAGGTCAGTCGGTGGTCAGTGTGGGTTCTAGAATCAGATCTGGGTGGGAATCCCAACTCTGTTGCTAATGAGCTATACTGACAATGGGCAAGTTGTCTAATCTCTCTGAGCCTCCATTCACTGCCATGAAATAAAGTAATGCTACCAGGGCTGAAATTCAGTCCCCAGACCTGGTACAGCTGAACTGGTTGTGAAAACATCAAAATACTTCCAGATTGATTGTAAATAGAGAACCATAGGACTTGGGCCCTCCCACCCCATCCCTAGTTTCTCTCCTGCCTATTCCCTTTGATCCAGTAGCTGAAGAGTTAACTCTTGACAGAACAGAGACCTACTAAGTCTTTGGTCTAGCACTAAGGCCAGCATCCATTTTGATTGGTAATGTTCATGTCTGAATGGATTGTTAGATATTTTTAATGGCCGTGGTCATCTGTGGGATTAAGTGAGATGATGCAAATAAAGGACTTGGCAGAGAGTTTAGTGCATAGTGAAGCAATTCAGTCAATGTCAGCTGTTGTTGCTTTAAACATTAAACCTAAAGGCAGAAGCAGGATCAAGATCAGGGTCTCAAGTCTTATGAGCAGGTGAAGATGGGATATGACTGGCAGCTCGGGAACAGTCACAGGGCCCAAGATGACTCATGGGTGAGACTGAATGGGTGGTCCTGCCTCACCAACTGCCCCCTGCCTTCCTTGCTGGATCCCATGCTGATTACTGGGTGGGGAATGGGGAAGTCAGGAGCAACCACACTCTGGCCCTCTTGCAGGTCACAGGAGCTTCTTTTTGTTTCCATGATCACCAGCTCTACTATTACAGCCACTGTTGAAATCCCATGTCTTGACCACCTCAGAGTCAGAGAAGCTGCTCCCAAGAGGCTGAGCTTTGCCTTTCTCCTGGCTTGGAAGATCAGAAAAGAATATTCTAATCCAGGGTCTCTGCTCTTAAGGACTTGAAAGATCTTAAAGAGAGGCAATATTGTTTTCTGGCTAGGAGTGTGGGTTCTGGAGCCAGACTGCTTGGGTTCAAATCCCAGCCCTGCAGCTTTACTAGCTTTGTGAGCTTGGGCTAGTCACTTAAGTGCTCTAAGTCTCAGTTTCTTCATCTGTTAAATGGGAGTCATAATAGTACCCGCTTCACCGTGAACAGGGGGGAGTTCTTGCCTATCTCTAGGTCCCCAGGGCCCATAGCAGAGAAGGTGCTCAGGAAGTGACAGTGTCAGGGCTTTCAAACCCCTGTCCCTGTGAGTCACCAACCAAGGGGCCAGGGATGTGCCAGCTAACTGGAGGCCCAGGTAGTGCTGTCATCCCGTTAGGGCCCCAGAGAAAAGACAGCCTGAAGACTGGAGAATGCGACAGCAAAACGGGTTCCAGAGGGAATGAGACGGTTCCTTAAAAAAAAAAAAAAAAAAAAAGATGTCCCCTGGTTCCTCCCCACGGAGCCTGGCCCAGGAATTTTGAGGGCCAGCCCGAGAAGCCTCGCCTCCACTCGTGGCTGGCCTGTCCTCATCCCCCATCCCCGGGCTCACCTCAACTTTTGCTCTTTCGGCAGAAGCCCGGCCTCTTCCCCCTTCCCCGGCCCCCTCCTTCAGCATCCCAGCTCCCATTCGACCAATCTCCAGACGCCCCGCCCCACTTTTGACAGATGCCTAGAAGTCCCTCCCCCGCACGTGGCCCAGTCGGAGAGATACCTGCTCCGGTCGCCCTCCCCCCGCCACTCCCACTCCCCCCCTCCCCAGTTTGGAATAAAAGAGTTCCTTCCCGCCGCCTTGGGTCGGGAGCTCTCAGCTGCCAGAGCGGCCAGGGCAGCCGGGCCGGGCTCTGGGGAGACCCCCAAGTCCAGGGAAGAGGTGTTCCCGGGGCCCTGAAACCTTCCAGACCCACTCAGTGTAAACCGCCACGGGTTTGTGTCAACATCCTCGGCCGGAGACTGGCGGCGGCTGGGGACCGGCTCTGTCTGCGGGACGGGAAGATGGGGGGGCGGGGAAAGGAGGGTCCATGGGGTAGGCAGAGGGACCTTCTGGAGGAGATCCCGAGAGGCCTCTTGGGGGTCCGTGAGCACTAAGCAAGGCCTGTCTGGAGAGGATCAGAATTGGGGGCTGCAGGGCGCGCACGACGAGCGTGGGGCCAGGTAGAGGTGGGGCGCTTCGCCATCCGGGCTGCGCTCTCGACGCCCACCCGGCCCCCTCTCAGGTCCACGGCGGCAGCGCAGTGGGTGTGTTGCGGGGACGACGCGAAGGCGTGGGCGGCCGACCACGCCAGCCCTTCCCTCCCCCACTCAGCTACTCCGCAGCTCCTCGTCGCCCTCCTCCAATTTCGGGTGGGACATGGAGGGGGTCACATCTTGTGACTCATCCCCTCTTCCATCCCCACCCCCCGCTGGGGCCCTGGAAGGGAAGGCTTAGAGACTCGGCTGTGGCTCTCCCGTTTCCACAGCAACCATGCGGTTGTTTTTGCGAATCCACTTCAGTCATCACTTTTCGCCCCAGACTGCGGCCCGGGGTCTGAACCCTAGGGTGGGGTACCGCTGGGGGCACAGCCCTCCCCTTCCCTCGCGACTCCGAGAAGGTCAGCGCGGGCGGGCGGGGCGCGCTCCCGCAGCCGGGCCTCACTGGCCATCCAGTCCCCACCTGAAACCCCGCCTGCCACTCCGCCCCAGCGGAGCCAATCAACGCCCGATCTGCTCGGGATGAGGCGGGGCTTATGCAAATCGTGTCCCCTCCGAGAGACAGAGTGATACAAGAGCTGGGAGGCGGCTCCGGTGCGGACCTCGGAGAGCCTGGCCGCCAGCCCGCGAGCCAGTCTCGGTCCCCGCAGCCCGCCGAGGCTCAGAGCCATCCAGCGACCCGGCGAGCGGCCTCAGGTAACGCGGGCGGGGCCGGGCAGAGGCCCTTGTCCCCTCCCCCTCCATTCTCCTCTCCTGCCCCCCTCATTCATCCTTGACCCCTGGCTCCCCCCATAGGCGGCAGCATCTGGAGGGCCGCCCCTGGGCAGGGGACTCCCACCCTAGTCCAGGCCCCATGGGTTCCAGGAAAGGGGGCACAGCTGCCTCCTTACCCCCAGCTCAGGTAAGAACACCCACTACCCTAGCCCCCCAACACACACACATACACACACACACATACACACACACACACACACCTGGGGGTGTGGTGTTGCTGGTGCTTGAGGAGGCTCCAATCACCCTTCCCCTTGGGAGATGGGTAGTTTGCCCAGCATCCATGGCAACCTCCCACTTCCACAGATAGCCCCCACCAACCGCCCCCCCAGCAGCTCGCCGTGCACTTCACATCAAGGCCCCTGCCCCCAGAAACAGCTTCCACCTCCACAGAGAGCGTACTCCCACTTCACGTTGTCCCCTCAGACTGTCCCCACCTCCCACCCCTCAAGCTGACAGAGCTCACAGCATATCTGGAAGAGGAAAGAAGCGCTCCCCTCCCCCAGTTCTCCTCCCTACACTCTCTCAACAGCAACACCACCCCCCATGGTCCCAGGGCTGGGCAGAGGCCCCACCTTTGGCCTCTTTCATCCTGGCTGGAGGATGAACCAGGGGCACCACCCCCCAGCAGACCTGTCCGTCACTGCAGCCAAGGTCCCAGCCTTCCCCGTTCCCCTCACCCCTCACGGGCACCAAGTCCTCTCATCCTACCTCTCAAACATCTCTAATTTGGATCCTCTCTGGCCTTCTTGCGCCCAGTTGCTCCCGCTCTCCTATCTTCCTGCTGTTCCACAAGGACCTGCCAAAGCTCCATGTGGACTGTGTCACTCCTTCCCCTAGGGTAGCCTGAATCTGGAAGGCAGAAGAGATGGGTTAAATCTTGCCTTTGCCTCAGCTGCTGTTTGCCTTTGGCCAAGTCACTTCCCTCTCTGATCCTTCATGAAATGGGGAAGGGGCAGGACAGAGGGAGGACTAGATGAGATGGTCTTGAACAGCCTTCCAACCCTGACACGCTCTGGTTCTGTGGCTGATTATGAGCAAATGGGACCATTCACTCTTGCCCTGAACCATTAGGACATTTCAGAGAAGAGGACTGAGGGGCGTTAGTCCTCACCAAGGGGACATGGCTTGTTACTCAGGCCTCCCCTTCCCACACACTGTCCAGGCCCAGACCCAGGCCCCTTCTCAGCTGTTAGGAGTCCCTCCCAGACCACCGGCCCATGTGGCATGGACAGTTCCAAGGTGGAGGTGGTCACTAGGGCCCGCCTTTTATTTATCATGCCCTGCCCCTCATTAAGGAGAGGGAGAAGACCTGGCTGCTGCCGCTATGGTTGCTGCTCGGAGAAGAGCAAAGGGAGCGGAGGAAAGAGGAAATCTCCTGACCAGGGAGCTGTTGTCACCATGGCAACCGTCTCAGCACCAGCTCCTCTGAAGCTGGGTGAGGGTGTGGGATTATTACCTCCCTCAATCCCTCCCACCCTCACTGCCACTTCCTCATGTGAAGCCCAGGACCCCAAGCTTTGTCCTCTGGAAGAAGCCTCTGAGCACAGAGGGGCAGTGCCATCTCCTTCACAGCTGGAGGGCAGCCCTCAAGAGCTGGGCAGAGAAGCCTGCCCAGGTTGAGCAGGGCCTCAGCTCCAACAGAACATGCCGTGCCCCCAAGGCCTTTGCCTTGCTACTGATGGGCTGTGGTTGGCCTTGGGCACACCCTTCCTTTCCTGGGTCTGGGTTCCATGGTCTCTGAAATGGGTGCAATGGCAAAAGCACACAGGTAAACAAAAAAGCCTGACGCCATTCCAAGGAGGAAGAAGGGGGTTCTGCCCCTCTCATGGCATCCACCAAGGGATGTTCATTGAACATCTCTGTGTTCCAGACATGGCCTTTGGGTCTCTGCAGGTGGTTCTGTGCAGCCACAGAGCGGGGAGCAGGACCACTGTGGGGCGCTCCAAGAGGGCAAACCTCAGAACAATGGGAAAAGTGCTTTTCTCACTCTCTGAGCTGCCCCAAAGCGGACTTGGTTATATGGAGAGGGGATAAGCTCTTTGCCATTGAGGAAAAGGCTTGAAGGACATTTTTGGGCTTGGGCCAAGGTTAAATACAAAGATCTCTTCCAAATCAGGCTCCATTCTGGAATTCTAGAGCGGGTGAGGGTCAGAGAGTTCTAGAGTGCACACACTTGCGGGGCTCAGTTCCCACAGCCCTCAAATGCTGAATCCATGCTGCTGACTGTCCAGTGTCCAGGCCAGGAGAGGCTGTTCATAAGGAAGTGGGCTTCAGTCAGGCCTGAAGGCTGAGGAGAGCTGCATCTGCCCAGATGGGAAGAAAGGGTATTAAGGGAAAGCAGCTATGCAATAGGTCCTGGCTGTGTGCAGACTAACTGGAGGGCATGTAGTTGTGAAGGGGGCAGTGGGAGGTAAGGCTAGACAGGTGGGCACCTTGATGCCAGATTCTAGAGGATTCTAGAGTGTGAGGGGCCTCATGGGCATGTCCCCTTCTAGCCTATGTCGTACTTCTGGGCAAAACCAGGAATGGCATTACCTCAGAACAGAGAAGTCAGAAGAAAGGCACTGCCTCTGAGGCAGCTGAGCCCATGGACATGGCTTAGCGTGCAGCGCAGGATTTCAGCCCCTCAGCTGTGCCCCTAGCCCTGACTATGGGGAGAGGGAGGACACGGTAAAAGTTCCAGGAGAACAACAGGACTTGGTGCCAGTTGGACCTAGGGAAAAGGAAGAGGGGAAACTAAAAGTAACTAAGATTGCATTTTGCCCCTGGGATGCGGGAGGGAAGGAAGGAAGGGCTGATGGAGAGGGAAGAGGGCCACAGGTTGAGGGTGTCTGGTTGTAGACGAGCAGAGTCAGAAGAACTGGGCCATCTCAAGGGATGGATATTTCCTAGATGTCAGATATGGTGGCCTGGAGCTCAGTGAGATGGTCCCACTGAGGCCAAGAGGGAGATCAGAACTAGGGTTTTCCCAGAAGGCAGGCAGGAGCGGGGAAGGTCTGTACTGGACAAGAGTAGCCATGATTTGGAGAGGGTGGTCCAGGCATGTGGCATGGATTCAGCCTGGGTGCCATCTGGACTCTTCCACTGACCTGCTGTGTAACTCTGAGCCAGTTTTCTCCATCCTCGGGGTTCCGGTTTCCACTAAAATAAGGGGATATCTTAAAGGGACTGCCAGCTTTGACTGGCCATCTAAGAACAATAGAGGAAATGAAGAGAAATGAAGAAGGAGGCATAGTGTTCAGCGAGGCTGGGACCAAATTTGGGCTGAGAACAGGTTTGGCCCCAGGAGATAGAGAATTGTGGGAAGGGAGCAGAGGACAGGGAGGAGGAAAAGGGCAAAGGCAAGAGCCACACAGAACCATGATACACACACACACACACACACACACGTGCACGTGTGTGCTCTGACAGATCTGCAGTCTCATAAATTGACGTGCTCCCACCCACACCCAGCCCCTTACACAGACACTCAGGCACATCCCCCAGGAGAATGCTGGAGAGGCTTCACCTCCCCTACTGGACACCTCTCTCTGGGTTCTCTAGCCTCCTTGACTATACCCTGAGCCTTCAGTGTGCTTTGGACTTGGGGAGGGATCAGCAGGGGATGTAGCCTGCCTTCTTCTGCCCATAGGTGTCCCAGAGTCATCCTTGTGCCCAGGGTAGCTATTTTGGACCCCACATTCCAGGTTCCTGAAGATGGCCTGCCTCTCCCCACCCCGGCTTCTCCTGGGAGCATGGAGGATTCCTCATGCTCCAGGGGTTGTAGGTGGGGGAGGATGTTGCTCTCCCAGCTGATGCTTGATCTTCGTCATGGCCCAGTGGAGGAGGCCCAGAGATATCCTGTAACTAACTTGAAGCCATGTAGCAAGGGAAGGGGCTTGGAAGAGACCAATATCAGATCTGGTTTTTCTGGATGCTACTAGGAGTAAGGATTAGAAGCCACACTGACATGCAGTGGGCTATGGACGTGAAATTCCTTCTGCTAGACTGATGACTTCCTTTTCCAGAGTATTTTCATGACAGGCTACCCTGGGGTCGGGGTCTGGTGCCCTTCCAAAAAGACTCCAGACAGGTCAAAGTTACCTCCTGGGCCATGTCCTGGGAAACTCAGGCCCTGGAGGGGTATAGCTCCCATGGAGGTCAGATAAGAGTGTCCACCTTCAGGGCCTGGCAAGACCTCACTCCTGATGCATCCTGGGGAGGTCCTATACCTCCCTCTGCAAGAACTGCCTCTGTCACAGGCTACATGAGGGGCTTCTATTCCAGTGGGGGACCGACTCTTCATCCTCCCCAAACCTGCTTTTCTACACCACCACCTCCATCCATTCAGCCCCAAATCTAAGCATCTGTCTCCACGTCTTTGTCCCTCTCACCCCCACATTCAGTCACCAAGCCCTGCTAGTGCCCCTCCTAACATGTCTCAATCCATCCATGTCATTCCACAGCCTCTGCCCTAGCGTCACCATCTCTCACCTGAACTATGCCGCACACCCCTCTCTGCTCTCTACTTTCCCCCACCCAAGCCATCTTGCGCACTGTAGCCAAAGGAAAAATTCTAAAACACATTCCTTCTCTCTCATCCCAGCATCTAGTTCAGGACCTGCCACTGTAAGCATTCTGTGTTTGGGGACTGAATGCTATCTTCCTAGCCCGTGCTTTAAAATCCCTATGGGTATAGGCCAAGCTCCTTGGCATGGATTGAAGGCCCTTGACAATCAGCCAGATACCTCTTTGACCCAGTTATGAGTTATTGAAGTTTGGCCTGTATCTACTTTATCCCCGTCACTGGCACGGGGCCTGGCACACACAGTCAGCCTCAGTAAATGCTCAGGGAATGAATGACTAATGAAAAGCAGGATGAGTCAGGGTCATCAATGCTATCAGCTAGGGCTTCTATTTGTACAGAGGAAGGAGAGAGAGAAGCTTCCTGCTGGGATGGCCTGGAATGCCTTGAGGAAGAACTTGGGAGATGGTGCCAGGGGGACACACGAGGAACCTTCCTCAGGTCCCTGGGCATTGAAGAGCCTGCAGAGGCAGGTAGGGCCTTGGGAGGAAAGCTCTAAATAGCAAGGAGAGGATTAAGACTCTATCCTAGGGGTGTGAGAAGCTCTGCCGGGTGTACACAGGAGAGGGGAGGATGAAGACTGACATTAGCCCTGGTCAGCGAGAAGGTGGGGAGCTGAGACCTGGGGGTGCAGATCCTAGGTGCCAGGAAGGGAAACCTGCTATGAGGAGAGGGAAGGGGCTGCTGTGGAGAGAAGAGGCCCTGCCATGGGGGAGTGTGATGGGGGAAGGGACCCCCCTCCCGTGTGTGGGGAGGGAGACAGGACCTCCTTTGGGAAGGGGTGTGAAGAATAGGGCCTAGCTGTAGGAAAGTGGGCTTGTTGAGGATGGTGGTGACAGGTGGGGACCCACCCTGCTGTGGAAGGAGGGATCCTGGTTGTGGGAATGTGGGGTTTGTTATGGGAGGGGTTGTTGTGGAGAAAGGGAACCCTGTCCTATGGGGACTTGGGGGACCGCTGCTGAGGTGAGGGCCTTGCCATGGACCAAACTGAGGGAGCCCTTGTCCCCCAGGCCCTGCCATGGGGAAGACCAACAGCAAGCTGGCCCCGGAGGTGCTGGAGGACCTGGTTCAGAACACTGAGTTCAGCGAGCAGGAGCTGAAGCAGTGGTACAAGGGTTTCCTGAAGGACTGCCCCAGCGGCATCCTCAACCTGGAGGAATTCCAGCAGCTCTACATCAAGGTGGGCGGGCCGGGCGGCCGGGGGCGGGGCCAGGGAACTCCAGGGGGCGGGCCGGACGGCTGGAGGCGGGGCCAGGCAATCCAGGGGGAGGGCTGGACGGCCAGGTTGGGGGCCAGGCAATTGAGGAGGCGGGCAGAGACCGCAAGGCTGTGGCTTTGCCACAACGCCCCGTCCACGCCTCAGTTCTTTCCCTACGGCGATGCCTCCAAGTTTGCGCAGCACGCTTTCCGCACCTTCGACAAGAACGGCGACGGCACCATCGACTTCCGGGAGTTCATCTGTGCCCTTTCGGTCACCTCCCGCGGCAGCTTCGAGCAGAAACTCAACTGGGCCTTTGAGATGTACGACCTGGACGGCGATGGGCGCATCACGCGCCTGGAGATGCTGGAGATCATCGAGGTACGCGGGGGTGGATGCGGGAGGCCAGGCTGTGCTGGGGTGATGCCCCTCCTGTCTTCGTGGAGGGTCCTCTCCTGCCCTCTCCAGGCACCCTACTGTTGGGCCTCGGGAGCGTCCTGGCTGCACTCCACCTGTCCCCGCACGCCGCCTCCCAGGACCCAGTGGCTAACTGGCATTGGTTGGGTGCGCAGTGTAGGACAGGCCTCGTGCTAAGTGATTTACCCAGAAACCCTATGGGGTAGGTACTGACAGAAACCCCATTTTACAGAGGAGGAAACATAGCAAGTGGTGGTTCACGACTCAAATCCAAGGACTCTGACTCCAGAGCCTAAGTTTCTAACTCATTATATTTAAACAAATATGTATGGAGTGCCTACCGTGTGCCAGGCGCTGTTCAAAGTTCTGCTTTATTAGGACACTCCTTCTGTAGTGAGAAGATTTTAAAACAAGAAAACAACCTGTGCTATGTCAAGCAGTAAGTATTATGAAGAAGATAAGCAAAGCAAAGTAAGGGGAGTGAGAGCGATGGAAGAGAAGTCTATGGGGTGAAATGTGAGCAGCAACCTGAATAACGTGAGGGAGCTAATCATGTAAACGTCTGGGGGAAGAGTGTTCTATGCAGAGGGAGCAGTAAATGCAAAGACACAGGTGGGATTGCGCTTGCAGTGTTCAAGGAGTAGCCAGGAGGCCAGAGTGGTACGAAAGAAGTGGGTGAGGGGAAATCACTTAGCATCTCACAGTCTGGGGTAGAGATTTGACTTTATTCTGAGCAAGATGGGGAGCCATTTACCGCTCTCTATTCTCTGTGTGGAGAACAGACTAAGGGCACAGGAAGGCAGAAGCAGGGAGACCAGTTAGGATGCTTCCACTGCAGGGCAGTCGGGAGCTGATGGAAAACAGCAACTCTGGGGGAGCAGTGGAAGTGGTTGGATACGAGACCTATTGCAATATTTGGGCTGACAAGATTTGCTGAAGGATTGGACATGAGGGAGAGTCTAGCATGGCATCAAGACTTTTGGTCTGAACAACTAGAAGGATGAATTTGCTATTTACTGAGACAGGGAATGCTGAGGGAAGAGCAGGTTGGAGGTGAAGAGCTGGGCTGTGGACATGTGTGGTATGAGATACCACATGTGTGGTATGAGATACCCATTCAGATTAATGACCATACATCACCTTCCAGGATCCTCGCCTTCTCCCATGTTCTCCCTGCCCATCCCCAACCCCCTTCATTCACCCCTGATCGTCCCTGCCCGCTGTGAGTGTTCACAATTCCTCCCTTGCCCCCCACCCCCACCAGGCTATCTACAAGATGGTGGGCACTGTGATCATGATGCGCATGAACCAGGATGGGCTCACGCCCCAGCAGCGTGTGGACAAGATCTTCAAGAAGATGGACCAGGATAAGGACGACCAGATTACGCTGGAGGAGTTCAAGGAGGCGGCCAAGAGTGACCCATCCATTGTGCTGCTGCTGCAGTGTGACATGCAGAAGTAGAGGCTGGTGAGGGCCAGGGCCCCTGGCCAGGAGGGGCGTGGCCACCTCCCAACCTGATGACCTCTCAGGGGGAGGGGTACTCTAGCCTCACTTTCTGGCCCACCCACCCTTCTGCCCAAGCCCTTGCTCCCCTCAGTCGAGATCCTTGAGGGACCACCTCACCCTGGAAAAGAGACAGATCCTCAGGTATTCTGTGGTCTAGCCCCACCCCCAGTCTTGGCCCAGAACCAACATCCACTGGGCATAGAGAGTTGGCTTTTGCCCGAAGAGGCAGGATTGAGGAAGGGGGGCTGCAGGTCTGCTCTGAAATTCTGTCCTTCCTGGGATTACACTTTACAGGATATGGTCTCACAGATCCCAGTTAAAGGGCCAAAGTGGGTCTGTCCTTTGCTGAGGACTTAAATTCCTTAAAGGTGGTCTCTGCCCTGCCTCCTCGACTCTACCTGGCCCCTCTGGCCCCAGCCTGTGGAGCATTCATTCAGTCCTTTCTTCACCTAATGTTTATTGAGCACCTGTTCAATGCCAGGCACCTCTGGGTGCTAAGGTCATGGTAGTTTACAAGACACATTCTGTGCCCTCTGGAAGCTCATACGGGAAGTGAGGCAAACTTCCAGTGGTCAGAGTCTCAGATGGGAACGTGGCACACAACTGAGCAGAGGGTGTGCTAAGGCCAGTTAGTTTGAAAGGAACCATTAAATCTTTCAGCTCACCTCCACCCAGAGCTGCAGAGGGATTAAATGAAAAGTATTTGGAAGTCTAGGAACCATTGTGAGTGGAAGGTTTAAGAAACACTGATATTTATGTAATACTTATTTTTTTAGTACCCTTTAAAAGAGCTAAAGTCATTTTATTAGTTTAGGATATTAAAACATACTTTCTATTACTTGGTTTCTTGTAAAATGATTAAATGAATATAGAAAATGCTAATTTTGTGGGTCGGGGGAGGGAGAGCTGAGAAAAAAAGAGGGAAAATACCAGCAAACTTACCAAATAACACTTTTTCTTATCAGACTAAGTCCTGAGGTGTCACCATCAGCAGCTTCTGCTGCTTCCTTTTTAATGACTTTTTCAATTCAGTGGGCAGCTCTCTTATCGTGCACCAGCTCTGGTTGGATGCTGACTTCGGAAACAGAAAAAAACAAAGTTTGCTGAGAGTGAGACAAGTGTATCTTCCACATCTTGGTAGTTCCTTTCTGGATTGGGTCTTGTTTCAAGAATGGGCTTGTTCTTTCTGCTACAGAGACAGAAGGAGCTAGAAGAAGAGGACCACCCAGCCACTGTTTAGGTTACCCGACTGCATTTATGGACCAAATGCCTAAAAATGTGCTGGGGACACGCTCCATTTGAAAGGCTCTTTCTAACCCCAAACCCTCAGTCTGCCAGGTAAATGCATCTTCGCCCAGGTGTACTCGATTTGCTTTCTGCTTTCTGCTTTCGGGCCAATGAGCTATACAGCTGCATGCTTTGACTGCCAGACAGTCTTGCTTCTGCAAGCCTTTCATTTTATTTTCGCCCGTACTTGTGATCAGAAATTAGCTTTGATGTGCAGTGACAGATTTCCTCTTGAGCTGCTGGTGAAAACAGTCTAGTACACAGGTGCTGTCAGCCCAGGGTAGGAACAGGGAATGATTGCTGAGTCAGCGGTGGGGGACTGCATCTTTGGGAAAGAGGAAAGGCATGCCTCTTCTGAGTGCTCACCTGTCTTCCCTCTCTGCATGTGGAAACCCTTGGGGATGCTGACCTTTGGCCCCGAACTCTATTGGACCTTCCTTCTTGCTGCCCTTGGAGGTAGCAAGGCCACTTAGTTGCCACTCTCTTTTTGTCTTCTGCCTATGACTAGCCATGTGGTGATGCTGGGAATTCACATCCTCAGGCAGTAAAGAGCAGGTTTTTACCCGGTAATGCCTCAAGGAATGTTCCATTGCTCTGAGGCGCTGGTCATTAGGTGTTATCTTGTGCTACTAGTCAGCACCACAGATACATAGATACCAGCCTGGCTCAGTGAGACTTCTAGTAGAGGCTTTTTACAAAGTGGGGTTCCCATCCCCCAAACTGGATGGGATGAATCTAACCTAACTCACAGTCACACAGAATTTCATGGCTTTCAAATGCTTGCCATCTACTCCATCTCATTCTATCCTCCAGCCTGGGGAAATAGAGATTTTTCATTCCCTTTCTCCAGTCTTGGGAAGTGAGGCACAGAAAGGGGGGATTCCCTTGTGCAAGGGCACGTGGTCAGGGGGTGAAACAGGCCAAGACTCGAACCCAAGGCTCTAAGAGGGTTTCTTCCTTCAGAGTTTCTCCCTCCTCATCTCTCTGACTCTGAGTCATACAAAGTTGACTGTGGGGCAAGCTAAGTTAGTTTTGGTCTTTGACAAGCTTCCTGCTGAGAAGTTTCTGAGGTGGTGGTCTTCCAAAAAGAAATAGGAGCTTGGTTGAACTTCCAACATTTTCAAGCATCTTGTTTTCTGCTTCTGGGCAGCTCTGCTATCAGTGCTGTCCTGGGAAGCCTCTGACTCAGCACCCTGGAAGCATCTTGCACTATCTTTACCACCATATTCCTTCCTAAGAGAACTGTTTTTGTTTTTGTTTTTCTCCAGCTGGTGGGCAAGTCCTACCTGCGAGCGCATGTTTGATCATTCCAAGCTTTTGGACATATCCCGTGGGCGATATTTGCCAGTTAGGCCAAAGATTCTCAGACAGCCCAGTGGTGTGAACACATAAAGCCAGGCTGGGAACTGAGACCACCATCTTGTTGATGGGAAGAGCCATATGCAGGCCAGGCCTTGCTCCCACATGCTCCTGGATGTCCCAGGGACTGTGTGCTCAGGGGTTCCTGTGGTAGAGCACCGGCCCTGCCTTCAGAAGAGAGGCAGGCCTCCGATACCTGTGCCAGCTATGAGGGACTTGCCATAGAGCACGAGGTAAGGAGACATTGAAATATGACTCGCAGAAACACAAAAATATACAGACAGTGACAACAGTGATATATTCAAACTCTCCTTTTGAAATTTTGTATCTTCTTGCAGCAAGTCTGAATTGAAAGGTTCCAGAATCTACCTCCTAACTGCATTCTGTCCTCCTTCATCCTTTTGGGCTAACTGATGAGCCCCTTATTTCTTATCTTTAAAAATCATCAGCAAGGTCTACTTCAGATGGCTGCTCCAGTCCTTTGAACTATAGTCAGGGTTATATAACTTACCTTTAAATCAAAAATTAAGAAAAAGGAAGCCCATAAGCAAAGGCACTGAATCGTTTACTGACAGTTTCTAGAGGTAGAAGTTCATCCTGCTGCAGAGAGAGAAGGAGGCAAGGGAAGAGAAAGAAAAGAGAGAGAATGAGAGAAGAAGCTGGGGTTTCCACACAGGGTAGTAGTAAGCTGACACTGTAAATATTTTTACACAAAAATTTACTAAAGCAACACATTTTCCTGAAGATCCACCCTGGGTGAGGTTTTGTTCTGACTTCAGAGATCACTGTGGAAGAAAGAATACATTTCTTACATATTTTATCATTTTTGAAAAAAAAAAAAACCTACAAATCCTACAATTTCAAAGCCTCAGAAAAATATGGAATTTTCTTTCTGAAATTTTCAAGGTTTTCTTTTACCTTTGCCAGAAGGTGGGGCGGGACTGGGCCTCCCAGGGTGTTTGGCCCTTCCTGCTTGGTGGAGGCTGTGGGGGCGCGGAGGCCTGGGGGAAAGGGGGAGCTGGGTGGCAGAGGGTGACATCCCAGCTCATTCTCTTGTGCGGCCCCCCATCCCCTCCCCATGTGCTGCTCCCGGCTGTGGCCGCAGTGACTGTCCTCACTGTTCAACCCTGTGCTGTATAGTGTGTTTTTCACTGACCGTGAATAAAGGTGTGACCTTCATGGAGGGCTCCTGCTCTTCCCTAAGCTGAGGTAGGGCTGGGGTACGGGACAGGGGGAGAGGAGGCCTGGGGAGAGCTCAACAGGGGGGTTACCTCAGCAACCTCCTTGGGGCTGAGGGCCGTGTTCTAGCAAGGGCTCTGGTTATGTGGAACAGAGACCCACTCAAGCTAGTTCAAAGAAAGGGGTGAGCAGATTACAAGGGACCCTGAAGAGGGAAAATCAAGAATGGCTGGGCCTCAGAAGGACTGGAACTGGCAACAGGGCCTCTCCTGTCTCCTCTCGGGGTCTCTCCTCCCCTTGGCAATATTTGCATCTGTGTTCTTTTCCTCGGTTTCTCTTCAGACTTCCTTGGTTTCCCTGCAAAAGTGGCTCCATCCCCAACTCTGTATCAGGACTTCCTGGCAGCTGACAACTCCCCTCTGCGTCAGTTCCAGTTCTCAAGCAAAAGAATCTGATTGGTTGAGCTTGGCTTATGGTGGGAGCCCTTGGTCCATTCATCAATGGCCAGACCAGGTGCTGATGCGTGGGCCTGTGGGCAGAGCAGTTTCCCCAGAAGGGAGCTAATGGCAGGTAACATTGGACTTAGTTTCTCCCTCTGTCCAGTAGAAGGTGTCATAGAGCCCAAACGAGTGGACAGTGGGGAGTGGGGAGAAAGGCCAAGAGCCAGGATTACAATTAGGCCATATGGTGCCCTTTGTGCAAATTAGGAAAAGACACCCCTTCTGGGTGTAAACAGCCTCCTAAGTATGCAGCTGGGCCAGTGGATGGCACCTTTGGCCTAATGAGAAAAGTGTACCCCCTCTTCTGAATAAACACAGCCTTGTCATGCCATGGTGCACAGCTTGGCAAGTGGAGCAGATCTTGGATTTCAGTCCCACCTGCCCTGCTGGTCACGGGTGTTGTGTAGTGCGTAACCTCTTCCGCCGTCCAGAAGGAGACCAGCCCAGGCCCTGAGACCTCCTGGAATGGAGTTAGTGTTGATGTGTTTTTCTTAGCGGATACCAACTCCCCCTCCCCCTGCAATGGCCAGAGAGGCCCTGTTTGTTGCAGGGAGTTGGGGGCAGTGGCAGCTGGAGGTGACTGCTTCCTCCTGAAACACTCAATTGCATTAACAAGGATTTTCCCAAGGACGCTTGGAAGGGGCCAGCTTCCTTGGCAGGAAGCAATTAGGACAGAGGAGGGAGGCTGACCTGGCCTCAGGGCAGCTATAAACCTCAGGAGGTGACTCAGGAGCCTGAGAACTTGGGGCTGCTATTCCCAGCTGAAGCCTTACTGGGGGTGGGGAGGGGAGTCTTTTTCCCTGCTTACTTGGGGTGCACAGGTCCAGGTCCTGGGTTACCATCTCCTGAAAACTACCCTCCTGGTCTTCATCACCTCTAACCCAGGTTGGTCTGCCTCCTGCTTTCAGGCTTGCCCTCTGTGCCATCCAGTGGTCCCCAAGGAACCAGAGTGATCTTCCTAAAGTGCAAGTCTGACCGTGTCAACTCTCTGAAATCTCCCCTCTTCCTTCAGTGTGATAAGCTCCTTAAGAGTCCCTCAAGGCCCTGCAGGATCTGCCTGCCACGTGCTGACCTCCAAAGCCTGTTCCTTCCCCACCTCCCCGTCCTTCACCCTGCATTTGAGCCACCCCGTACTGCCCTCTATTTCCCTAAGGCATCTCTCATGCTTCTGTGCTGGTACACAAACCATTGCCTCTCCATGGGCCACCCATTCCGTCTCGGTGATGTCCTTCTGTGCGAAACCCTCCCAAACCTCAAACAATTGACCCCTCATGTGGACACAGTCCATCATAGCTACCAAACAGCCTCCCATGTGATTCCCTGTCAGTTGAGCCAAGCACACTTTTAATCTCCAGTTAAAAAAAAAAAAAAAAAGTCAAGGCAATGAAGGCTTGGAGAATGGCAAGACTGCAACTTGAACTCGGGTCTTCTAACATCAAGGCTACTGCTTATTGTGCTTTCTGGGGGGGTGGGGGAGGGAGGCAGGAGAAGGGCGAAGGTAGGCTTCATGGAGTAGGTAGCTTCTGCCCCAGGTCTTGCTAAAGACCGGCCAACAGGACCA